TGAATGAGGATAAACATATGAACACCAATGGCATGACCTTGATTAACTTAATGGACATTGTAAGTAAAAATGGAGATAAGAATGGACATTGAGAAAAAGTCAGGAAGGTGGGATTGTATTTATAGCCAAGAGCAGGAGATGAGTAGAACTAATAAACAAATCCAAGAACAACAAAAAAATTCATGCTCTTGGATTCAGCATGACTTACCTCCAATTATTGTAGGCACATGGAAAGTGAAAAATCAGATATAAGATCTCTCTGTCTTGTCTGTCCCTCTTAGATCTTAGTAGATAAGCTATGTTGTTCCTCTTATAAGAGGAAGAGACGAGGGACTGATGCAAGTAGGGTACCCGCCAAATGATGCTATCTATCATAGAGCAGGAACATGGTACCAGGGCAGTCCCTGACTCTGAAGAGGGAGGAAGTGTTGCAGAGGATTCGGTTTTAAACCAGAACACTGCCAGTGTTGATCAAGCAGCAGCTCTGGATGGCAAACAGAGTTCTTTCTGGCAGAGTTGCATGCACAGTGCCAGATTTGATGAGCTGGTACCCTCCCAAGGAGAGGGCAAGAGCCACAAAGGACCAGAAAATTACAAGAACATTAAAAGAACTCCAGATAAGAGAGTACTGTCCCTACCATTAGAAAAAGGAGGGATATTACACAGGACAGAGGAACCTAGTACCACAAGTGTACATTGTGACTTATCTTCTCTCCTACCGTTGGATGAGAGAATTGGCAGAGTTACAGATGTTTTCTGAGAGGAGGGAATGGGATGGAAAAGATTTTATTCATTAAAATCCCAAAGAGGCTGAGGAAGGCAGCCCAGTGAGCGGAAGGCATGAGACAAATCTTTGGGGGTAGAGAGGGCCCCGGACACTGTGGAAGGATCACTTTTCAGAAGTTGGCTGTGAGAGGAGACAGGTGGCAGTGGAGTGCAAACAAGACCAAAGAGGCCACCCCGTTTAATTCCCCCTCAGACAACTTCCAGCTGCTGCTGAAGGTATGAAGCTAATGAGGTGATCAGCTTGTGTGGATTGCACAGCATGCAAACAAGGAAGACCCAAAACACCAGGAAGGATTTGCTAACGGAGAAGGTACATGGAAGAGACCAGGAAGGTCTATAGTTAAAAAACACCCAAAAAAGAAGATGGTTTTGGTCATCCTGGGCTATGAATGTGAAATTCAGAACAAGCTTAATCAAGTGTCTGAGTTACACAGAGATGAACATTGCAGAAGATGCCGGACCAGATGGCCTCCCTATCCTTGGAGTTGTTCAATGACAAGGGTGCTGTTAATCAGTGTACGTGGAGGGATTTCTGTGCCCGGTAGAAGCTCAAAAGGTCCCAGCCTTCTGTAATACCATGGATCAGCTGAGCTTTCAGCAGGGCTGAGCTGTCCCTCCTCTCCTCAGTCATTTCCACTTCTCCCCGCATGACGGAAGCCCCAGTTAGAGTTCTCCATTCTGAGTCATAAATGGGAATCGAATCAGCAGATTCCAGAACATCCTAAAACAACAACTTCTCTGTCTCCTCACGCATCCCCTATGACTCTGATTAGCAAACATCTCCCCTGGCCTTGTTTTCCTGCTTTAAATTTCAGTCTGCAGAAGAAAAGCCAGTTTGTGTCTCAGACACTAGACCATAGAATCTGGATCAGCTCATTCCGACTATTACATGCTCTCCAGTTCTGAACACTCCCCATAGACCAAGTCTTGTCTCGGGTATTTGGGCTGCACAGAGAGGGTGAGAATAGATGAGAAAGAAGGCAAGGATCTTTTCCTATTTGTCAAAGTCAACAAAGTAGCTTATAAAATTCAAATTCATAGTCACCAGGGAGATAAAAATTAAATAAAATATCATTCTCATATATCAAATTGACAACCAGGTTATTGGTATGGCTGTGTAAAAATGGGCCCTCTCATGGACTGTTTGGTGGGAATGCAGGCATGAGAGTGGCATTGGACAGGATATGCCATAAATGTACAATGTTTATATGTTGTAAATGTACAATGCCCTTTGATCTTAAAATGCTTCTTCTAGGGATGTATTTTAACAGATGCAAAGCCATATACATGTTCAAAGAAACAAGTTGATGGATGTAACAGCTGAAACTGCTGCTGGCCTACCCAACATTAATTCTCTTTGTATCAGTCAGTTTTTCTTCACCATAGTAAAAACTCCCTTTGCAAAGAGACAAGATTTATGGAGATCACAGCTTTGTTGTTTCAAAGTTGAAGACTGGGCAGCTCCATTGGTTTTGCTTCTGATGAGAGTAGTAATGGTAGAGCATAGAATGTAGGCAGAAATATCAGCCAGGAAGTAGGCTCAGACTCAGGCTTTTATAAGCAACCCTCTCTTGACAACTGCTTTCCAGGGACACACCCTCAGTGACCAAAGGACCTCCCACTAGGCCCACCTGCTACATACCATAATTGGATTAAGTTTCTACTTTCTTCATCCCATTCATTTGTGACAATGTGGCATGACTTTGATAGCCATATTGTATTCAAACCATAACCCACACCCTTCTCAACTATGAGGGTACTTCCAAAAAGCTCACAGAAAAATGGAATTAAAAAATAAGAAATCTTGAAAGTCATGCATAATTTTTTCATAGTATGTATTTTCTGTGAACTTCTTGAAGGCCCTTATAGTGGTGTGCCTAAATAAAGGGCCAATGAAACGCAAACCAAACTACTGGATGAGGGGCTGGCACAGTGGTGTAGCAGGTAAAGCTGCTGCCTGCAGTGCTGGCATCCCATATGGGCACTGGTTCTAGTCCCAGCTGCTCCACTTCTGATCCAGCTCTCTGCTATGGCCTGGGAAAGCATAAGATGACCCAAGTCCTTGGGCCCCTCCATCCGCATGGGAGACCTGGAAGAAGCTCCTGGCTCCTGGCTTCAGATTGGTGCAGCTCTGGCTGTTGCGGCCAACTGGGAGGTGAACCAGTGGATGGAAGACCCCTTTCTCTTTCTGCCTCTCCTCTCTCCTTGTAACTCTGACTTTCAAATAAGTAAATAAATCTTAAAAAAATACTGGATGAGGTTTGAGAGAAAACTCTCTATGTTCCATTCTTGTCTCCTCTCTGGTGTCTGGAGCTTGTTCATTATGGTTGCAGTTCCAGCAGCCATTTTGTGACCTTGTGGAAAGGAGGACCCACTCAGGGCAGAAAAGTCTAAGGAGCCCCGGGACACTGATGTCTCATAGTTTCCACTCCTGCCCTTCAGTGCCTTGCTTCAGAGTCTTTTCATGGGAGGGACACAAGAGATAAACAAGGCTGTGCTTTGTTTGGGTCACCACGATTAGGTCTATGTTACCAGTAGCCAAGGGCATTTCTGATACACATGTTTGTCATAACATTGGTTTTAAAATACAGAAATGATGTAAACAGTCTGAATGTCCATAGCTTCCACCTTCTAGAGCTTTTCCAGATCCGTTTCCAGCTGCGGTACACAAGAATCCTCACATCAAACCTCTCTTTCTTTAAAAGAAACTTGAACTTGGCCACACTTCAGCACATTCCTCTCAAGCTGCTGGGGAACCACATTTTTTTTTTTTTTGACAGGCAGAGTGGACAGTGAGAGAGAGAGACAGAGAGAAAGGTCTTCCTTTTGCCGTTGGTTCACCCTCCAGTGGCCGCCGCGGCCGGTGTGCTGCGGCTGGCGCACCGCGCTGATCCAAAGGCAGGAGCCAGGTGCTTCTCCTGGTCTCCCATGGGGTGCAGGGCCCAAGCACTTGGGCCATCCTCCACTGCACTCCCGGGCCACAGCAGAGAGCTGGCCTGGAAGAGGGGCAACTGGGACAGAATCCGGAGCCCCGACCAGGACTAGAACCCGGTGTGTCGGTGCCGCAAGGCAGAGGATTAGCCTAGAGAGCTGCGGCGCCGGCTGGGAACCACATTTGTAATGTAAATATTTTTGAACTTCAGAAAAAGAAAATAAAAAGTAAATAAGAATCAATAATTATAAACTGTATATAAAACCCCAGATTATATCAACAAACACAGGGATGTTGCAGGGTGAGGGGGAGGAGAGCAAGAATGGAGCAAGAGTGAGTGAGTTTGGTGGGGGGAGAGAGAGAAAGAGAAAGAGAGGGAGAGGATGAGAAACTTGCTTAATTCTCATGCAGCAGGGAAAAGTAGATAACACTTTTTCACAGCATTGCTGATTACAGGAAAAATAGGTCTAAACTTTTTAAAGAATTTATAGGAAACAACCAATAAAATTGAAAATAAGATATTTAGCTTCAAAATCATTAGAGGTCAGAGAAGAAAGTTAGCATTCTGCAAACTTTTTGTCAGGGCTGTGAAAAATAAGTGAAAAGATTTTAAGCAGGCAATCTCATCATATGTTCACAGTTAATTTGCAAATTGAACATTTTAAAGCAGACACAAAAAGATCATACTTTAAAGGTGTGATATATCCCGGGGCCAGCGCTGTGGCATAGTGTGTAAAGCCGCTGCCTGCAGTGCCGCCGTCCCATACGGGTGCTGGTTTGTATCTCGGCTGTCCCACTTCCGATCCAGCTCTCTGCTATGGTCTGGGAAAGCAGCAGAAGGTGGCCCAAGTCCTTGGGCCCCTGCACCTGTGTGGAGACCCAGACGAAGCTCCTGGCTTCTGGCTTTGGTTCTGCGCAGCTCCAGCTGTCGCAGCCAGTTGGGGGTGAACCAGTGGATGGAAGACTTTCTCTCTCTCTCTGTTTCTCCTTCTCTCTCCTTGTAACTCTGACTTTCAAATAAATAAATAAATCTTTAAAAAATATGAATAGACATCTTTTCATCACAGAGAAAGGAACGAGATACTGAAAGGCAAACCCATGTCCACTGTGCTTCCTTTGCATGCAAATCCTTCAAGGACATGAGAATGTGAAAAAACTCTCAATGTAGATTCTAAGCAGATAAAGCCTTAATGATTTCATTTTTATATAGAGAGCAAGCACATGATAACACTAGACAACAATATGGAAGTATGTGAAAATAATTATAATAAAATAAAACATTAAAAAGATAAAGAACTTTAAAATCATTCAGGAGGGAAGGGGTGGTGGGCGGGGCAGAGGAAGAGGCCATCTCTACACCTCAGTCGCCGGGCAGAAATGGACTCCTTGGGCGGCGGCTGCTCGTTCCCCATCCAGATCCTGGTGCTCAGAGCCAGCCTCCTTCTAGGTGAGCACTGGGTGTGGTGGGAGGCTGAGGCTGCCGCGCGCAGGCAGGCGGGCAGCTGGGGCTTTCATGGAATCACCTTCCTGGTTCCTTGAGCGCCGAGAAAGTTGACAGCGAGGAAAACAGGGCTGGCCTTTCTGTGTTGGCTCCAAGTGACCAGCAAACAGCCCAGGAAAATCAGCCGCAAACCCCTACTGCAGAGGACTGTTATTTGCAGCTGTGATCCTGAGAGCAGCGTCTGGGTCTGTGGTTTCCTGCTGCGTTGGCACTAACCAGCTCACAGTCTCTGGCTCCAGGCGGGACAACACTAGGCTCTCATCCACTTTATGTGCTGCTTCCCAGCTGCTTCCAAGCACTCGATGGCGGGCTGCAGGCTGTGGATACTGCCTGGTGAGAACTCTGACTTTATGTCCTGGCCCCTGCCTTTGCAAAAGCCCTTTACGGATGTGAAGAGGAGCTGAGTTCTGCAGTCAGACCCACTGGGTCTCAACTCTTGCTCCACCACATGCTGTCCCTCAGATCTTGGGCAAATTGGGTACGTGTGGGGACGCACTGTTCCTTTCTGAGCCTTGTTTTCCTCAGCTGTAAAATGGCTAGACTGATACCTCACTCAAGGTGTTGTTTGGGAGCCCGGATGAAACTGCATACCGACCACTCTCTGACATAGGGGCACAGGTGATTTTTGTGTTTGGTGGTCAACTTTTTTGCTGAAAAATTTACAGATAAAAAGAAAAAGGGACACCATTTCCCTGGTTCGTGATTAAACAGTGTCATATGATTCAATTGTTCCGTAATGAATCTTCCTGCAGCAAGCGAGTTGTGGCAACAGAAAGTGTGTACTTTCATAGTGGTTTCAAGTGGTTCCCCTTGCTAACCAATAAAGGAGATACTGCTGCTATTGTTGGTACTGAGCAAAGGATGAACAGATGGAGCAGATAAACAAACATCAGAGATAGTCATCCTCACAGGTAATCAAACAGGCAAATTAAGAAAATGGAGGGCCGGCCCTCGGCTCACTAGGCTAATCCTCTGACCTGCGGCGCCGGCACCCCGCCTGGCATTCTAGTCCCAGTCGGGGTGCCCCGGTTGCCCCTCTTCCAGTCCAGCTCTCTGCTGTGGCCCGGGAGGGCAGTGGAGGATGGCCCAAGTGCTTGGGCCCTGCACCCCATGGGAGACCAGGATTAATACCTGGCTCCTGGCTTGGGGTCGGTGCAGTGCGCCGGCCCTAGCGGCCCACTTTGGGGGTGAACCAATGGAAAAAGGAAGACCTTTCTGTCTCTCTCACTGTCTAACTGCCTGTCAAAAAAAATAAATAAAAAAAAGGAAAAGAAAATGGGAGATGATATTTTGCCTATCAAATTAGCATTTTTATGAGACTATTCGGGATGGCAGTGGAGCAGTGCTCGAGGTATCCTCCCGTATTACAGCGAGTTTCTTAAATGGGTAAAAGCTTCCTGGTGGTCTGTTTGCAGTGTTGGGAATATTTAAACGTTCAAAATGTTTTCATCTTTCAACATGAGACTTCCACTTCTGAGGTTTAACCCCAAAGGAAGAACCTTCTGCAGAGCATGAAGCAATTGATTCTGGGCTAGTTATTCTAATGAAGAAAGAGGAACTCAGGGCAAAATACGTATGGTCAAGGCACCACAGTAAGCTGGTGACAGTGACTGCTATAGGCAAGCAAAGCTGGCTGGATGACTGAGGGGTTCTGATCAGCTGAGGAGATGAAAATACTGGGGGCCAGGGTTGTGGAGCAGAGGGTGAAGCCACTGCTTCTGATGCTAGCACCCCAGGTTCAAGTCCTGGCTGTTCTGCTTCTGACCCAGCTCCCTGACAATGCACCCAGGAAAGCAGCGGAAGGCGGCCCAAGTGCTTGAGCCCCTGCCACCCACATGGGACACTCAGATCGAGTTCCAGGCTCCTAGCTTTAGCCTGGTCCAGCCCTGGCTCCTGTGGCCATTTGCGGAGTGAACCAGCAGATAAAATCTGTCTCTCTCTCTCCCTGCCTTTCAAATAAATAAATAAATAAACTTTTTTAAAAAAGTATTTGGTAAGAAGAAAAGACAGAAAAAAAACCCACACAAGCTGAGCACCTGCTGTACACAAGCGCTACACTGGGGATGTTGAATGTCGATCTGGTTTCAGCCTCCAGCACTGATGTCCCTGTGAAGTAGAGAAGGAAGGGCCGGAAGGGCCACACAATGGGAGAAGCAGGTCCCAGGACCTGAGCTGGGGATCTGGCCTTTTACATACACCCTCTTCAGCAGATGGCATTGTTGTTACTTAGCATTTGAGGAAACCAGGACTTCTGAGAGCCCAATTAACTTGCCTGCCGTTATAGAACCACAGGAGGATTCCAAGCCCTGCCAAGACCATGTTCTGGCTCCATAGGTTCTGACAGTGTGAAGCCGGAGTGTTCTAGACTCCTCATTGTCCTCAACTGTCCCGATCCTGCCCTCACGCACTCCCAAGCCCAGAGCTCTGCCCCTGTTAGTTCAGGGGACATCTGCTGTTAAAAAGAAATGACTCTTTCCCGGGGCAGACTAGGTCAGTGACGTTTCTCCATAGGGACACAGCTGCTTCCTTAGTCTCACCTTCCCTTTCCTTTTTCTACTGAACTAATGTATTCTTTTCCTGTTTGGGTCCAGAATCTGTTGGATCAGTGATGAGCTGAGAGAGTTTTTCTCCCTGTGTGCTCCAGAGCGCTTGGCTACGCTCAGAGAACTGTGTGGGTGGCACGGTGAGGGGTGCACAGGAAGCTACCTCTGCCTCCAGTAGCTCTCTTGTTGTGTGCTGCTGGTTACCCAACAACCGTGGAGGGCCGGAAGTCCCCGGGGAAGGAGCTGCAGCTCACCCAGGTGGGCATCAGCCTTGCATGAACGCTGAGCAAACACAGAACCGCTGTACCTGCTCCGCACAGACTCCCACGTGACAGGAAAGGGCAGGGAGGTGCTGGGTCCCAGTGCCCCTATCCACAATGTCCTTTCCATTCCTTGAATGTTGACCAAATAAAGCCCTTATCTTGTAAATGCATGGATTAAAGCAGTTTCAGGCAGTGCTAAGCTTATGAGTTAACTCACTTTTATTAATAACTGAAGTTGACAGAATATGTGACCTGTTGTCCTTTCTTTTCTTTATTTTTTAAAAATTATTTACTGATTTGAAAGGAAGAGTTACAGAGAGGAAGACACACACACACACACACAGAGTGAGAGAGAGAGAGAGAAAGAGAGAGAGGGAGAGAGAGAGAATCTTCCATCCATTGGTTTACTCCCCAAATGCCCACAACAGCTGGGGCTGGGCCAGGCCAAGGTCAGGAGCCTGGAGCTCCATCCAGGTCTCCCATGAGGGTGGAAGGGACCCAAGTACCTGATCCATCATCTACTGCTTCAGCATTCGCAGGAACAGGGACATTACTCCCAGGCACTTCAACATGGGATGCCAGTGTCCCAAGAGGCATCCTAACCCCCAGGCCACAATGCCTACCTTTTTTTTTTTTTTTTTTTCATGTAGAAATTAAACATTGAAAGAAAATAGTATCATATTTAATCTGAATTTCCCAAAAATTTGCAAGGGAAAATTTTTTAGGAATCTGTATTTGCATGTGCCCTCTGGCAAGGCAGGGCTGAGGGGGAGATACACGGCTGTGTTTGAACTGCTCCTCCCCAGCCTCTCAGCCGCTGTGGGAGGTGGTCCTTTTCCCATATATTTAGTAGGTTCCAGAACCGCAGCTGGAAGAGAATTGCAAACCAGGAATTCTGGATCCTGTAGGGATGTGGTTTCACCTTCTCTATAACTTTTGTTGTAAATCAGAAGTTCCTCCCCTGTATCAGTAAGGAATCTTTTTTTTGTAGCCTGTGAGAATAGCTTAGTAAATTCTTTTGGAGGAGAGAGAGAAAAAGAGAGAGAGACAGAGAGAATGAGAGAGAGAGAGAGGACTCAGATATGCTCTGCCCCATACAAATACACAGATCCTAAGTTCACTGCTATGTGAACTTGACACTTTCTTGATACAGTTGGTCTCTGGAAATTCCCTCATTCCTAGGATTTGCTGGATTCTGACCAGGTACCTTCTCTTTACTATTTTAGATTTCTGTTCAAAAATCAAATGCTTTGGGGAAAAGCAAGCCAGTTCCTTTTCTAAAATATTTGCCAGAAAGAGATAAAATAAAAATCTCCGACTCATTCTGCCATAACACAATGATGATCTAGTGTTAGCAATATTTCAGAACCCTCCCTTGAAAGGCCAAGTATCCAAAAAGGAGAAATTACAAAGCAGGAAACAGCCATGAGGCAAAGGACATTAAAATATTATTTGCTTAATCTTACAGAATTTTTTTGATGAAATGAATGATTTTTCTTTTTTAAAAAATTAATTTATTTTTTAAGGAATACAAATTTCATATGTATAACTTTAGCAATATAGTTATTCTTTCCACCATATCTGCCCTCCCACCAAGTGAATATTTTTTTTAGGAAAATACAATTTAATAATAATAACTATAGGGAGCTGGCGCCGTGGCTCACTTGGTTAATCCTCTGCCTTGTGGTGCTGGCATCCAATATGGGTGCCGGGTTCTAGTCCCGGTTGCTCCTCTCCCAGTCCAGCTTTCTGCTGTGGCCCGGGAGGGCAGTGCTTGGGCCCTGCACCCGCATGGGAGGCCAGGAGAAGCACCTGGCTCCTGCTTCGGAATGGTGCAGCGCCAGCCGTAGTGGCCATTTGGGGGGTGAATCAATAGAAGGAAGACCTTTCTCTCTGTCTCTCTCTCTCTCTAACTCTACCTGTCAAATAAAATAATAATAATAATAATAATAATAACTACAGGAGAGAAAGAAAATAAAAACAAATAAACTACCTTATTAAAAAATATTAAATTTCTGGGGCCAGCATTGTGGCATAGTGGGGTAAGCCATTGCCTGGCTTGGCTAGTCCAAGTGATCAATTTCTGTTCACAATTCATCATAATTCATCCATTCAAACCCTAATCATGCATATGATGGGA